TGATGTAAAAAATCACCCCCCCTGACAGCTCCCCCCCCCTCCCCCGCTCCAGGCGCCTCCCGAGGCCCCCGCGCGCGCAGCACCTGGGGAGAGACCGAAAGAGGCACCGATCTATTGCTGCAGCCAGCCCGTACAGTAAGGACGCGCGGTCAGGATGCGGGGACCTTAGACGCCCAGCGCAGATCCCCCAGAAATCCGAGTTGGCCTTCGATGTTTGTGCTTGTGCGTAGGTCGGGCATGTCCTCATACAAGCGGATCTGGAGAGGAAAAAAATTAAAATGAGCAATACGCACTCAGAAAGAATCATAAATAGCCGAAAATCGTCACCGGACGATGTTTTGACTATTTTCCCCCAATCAGTGCTTGCACTGAAGGGGTCCTAGCGGAGGTTAAAGGATTTGGCAAAAGTTTCCCGCCGATTTTGGTCGCACGCTGGGTTCCCGGGTTCGCGGTTCCGGGTTCCCAGATTCCAGATTCCCGGTTCCCGGGCCGATTTCGGTGGGCGGCGAGGTTTCCAGATTCCCTGGTTCCTGGTCGATCTTCTTTTCGATCGGTCTCAGCATCGATCTCATTTCCCACCTCTCTATCGATCTCACTATCTATCTCACAATCGATCTCACAATCGATCTCGCAAGCGATCTCACTAGAGATCGCACGAGCGATCTCGCGATCGATCTCCCTATCGATCTCATTGAATCGATTTCACTCTCGGTCTCACGATCGACCTTTTAATCGTCCTCTATCGATTCCACTGTCGATCTCATTGTCGATCTCACAATCGACCTCAAGATCCATATGACTAACGTTCAAATCCTCCACTGATTGGGGTTTCTCGGGTGTACTTGAATAGTCTCTCTGTGAAGGGACATGCCCGACTTACGCTCATGCAGTTTTCTCTTCCTCGCGCGTCACCCTCAGGAACGCGGGCGGCGGGCCGCCCAGCGGGCCCTTCGAGCGAGGGGGAGGGGAGGTGCAAGCCCGACACACTAGAGGGGCCCAGGGACACACGAATAGATAGGCACAAATCCCCGGATCCCCTATAGTTTCCCATGTTGTCCTGTAGTTTCCTGGGAATCCGCGATTGATTGTGTCTGTGTTTTTCCCCCTCCCGACACATGTCCTCCGCGGTGGCGACCCAGGGGGGGGGGGGGGCAGCCCTGGTCGCAGATGGCTCGCGGCGGCCCCCGGGGAGCGAGTGTCCCACTGGCGGAACGGCTCGCGCCACTGGGCAGAGGAGGCCTCAGAATCCGCCGACTCCGCCCCTGCCGAGGCTCTTCGAGCGGGGCTGGCCATCGACAGTGGCCGAGGATCGACCGAAGATGGCCGAAGGGGCAGGGAACGCAACGGGGCAACATTGGGAAGTCGATCCTCACTACTGTGCGGGTCGACCACACTCCCCGATCCTCTCCTGGGGCGCGCCCTGACCAGGCCTTCGGAGCGTGGCTGGCCGTGGCCACGAGGGCCTCTCAGAAGGCCCCAACAGGGCAGCGACATCGGTACCTTCCCTGAGATCCGACGTTGCGAAAAAGTTGCAGCATGGCGAAAGATCAAGACGGGAGCCCCAGACCCCATCTTTCTGAGGCATGTCTCAAGCGCGATCGATATGTGATGGTCCCAGGGCCTGCAAGCAGAAGAGAGAACGCCATGTTAAAAAATCGCAACCGCCCAGATATCAGCGCATTCCTTCTCTCATTGGCGGCGCGCGCAGGTGGGTAGGGGGAGGGGGGAAGGCTTCTTAGAAGTAGCCTGCTTCTTACAGGGCGCCGGCCTTACATCTACAGACAAGGCCCGCGCCTTCTAAAAAGCAGGGGTGCTTCTGAGAAGCAGTCCCCCCTCCCCCTACCCTCTGCGCGTGGCCGACATCCGCGAACGTCACCACCCACCAAACCAGCCCCAACCCAATCCGGAGGCCCCAGCTTGCCTTCCCTTGCCAACGGGGGGCTGGCGCTGGGGAACACTGAAAACACATGTGGTGGTCCCAGGGCCCGCAAGCGGCGGAGAGAACACCTGGTGAGAACGATTCCTTCTCTCAGGAGGCCACAATGCACCGATACCGTTACTCCCCAGCCCTTTCTCGGAGTGCGTTCTGACCAGGACTTCGAGGCGCACCCAGCGGTGGCGACAAGGGCCTCTCAGGAGGCCCACAGAGGGGAAAAAGAGAAGGGTAGAGGCATGGGTACCTTTCCTTCCTCTGAGAGGCCACCCGGAGGCTCAACAAGGGCGGAACGGAACGCGCCTGGGAGGGCTGCCGCTGTCGCGACGGGCTTCCTCCTCCTCCTCCTCCTCCTCCTCCTCCTCCTCCTCCTTCTCCTACTCCTCCTCCTCCTCCTCCTCCTCCTCCCCCTCCTCCTCCTCCTCCTGCTCCTCCTCCTCCTCCTCCGACTCTGACTCCGACTCTGACTCTGACTCTGTGAGCACCACCGGCGGCAGCCCCCCCGGCATGAAGAGCGTGAGGAAGCCCCGGCCCGCAGCGCTGCCGTCCGCGAGGCCGCCAGCGGCCCCGCACGCGGGCGACAGCGGCGCGCTGCCAGCGAGCTCGCACGGCGGCAGCGCGTCTGACGCGGCGGGGCCTCCCGCGAGCGGCGAGCGCACTTTGCGGCATCCCAGGGGTGCACCGTTTCCCCCGGGGCCGTAGGCGACCTGAGGACGAGGAGGAGGAGGAGGAGGAGGAGGAGGAGGAGGGGTAGGATGAGGAGGAGGGGAAGGAAGAGCAGGTGGAGGAGGAGCAGGAGGAGGAGGAGGAGGAGGAAAAGGGGGAGGAGGAAGGGGAGGGGAGGAGGAGATAAGGAGGAGAGGAAGGCGAGAGGAGAGGACTGGTAGAGGGAGAGGGGAGGAGGATCAGGTGAGGATGAGCAGGAGAGGAGGAGGAGGAGTAGGAGGAGGAGAGGAGGGGAGGAGGAGAAGAAGGATGAGGAGGAGGGAGCGGAGGGAGTAGGAGGAGGAGGAGGAGGGGGAGGCGAGGAGCAGGTGGAGGAGGAGCAAGGGGGGGAGGGAGGAGGAGGGGGAGGAGGAGATGAAGGAGGGGAGGAGGAGGAGGGGGGAGGGGAAGGTAGGAGGGGGGAGAACGCGCACGACGGGAGGAGACTGTGTGTGTCGAAGGGTACGCTCTTTCGTCATGCTGCTGAGGATAGGAGTCGGCGTGGAGCTGGTCGGCGGCGCTGGTGGGTGCATTGGGGGGAGGGTTGTTGGAGGTTGTGTACTCGCGTGGGGGGGGGGGGGGGGAGGGGGGGGTGGGCGTCTGTAATCAACTTTGTTTACATGGTGGGGGGGAGGAGGGGGTGTTGTACGGGTCGGTGGGGACGCTGGTGAGTCAGGGGCGGCGGGGACAAGGCGGAGGGAGGAGGGAAGTGGGCGCCTGCGGCTAGGAGTAGCTGCGAGCCTCGCGTGCAAGGGTTCGTCGCTTGCGGACTTACGGTCCACGTTCCTTGGTTCTGTCGTTCTTCGGTATGCTTGGCCGAGGAGGACGGGTCGCCTAAGCCCTTCGGAGAAACTCTCCACCCAGAGGTGAAAGTTTTCTTTTATTCGGAGTTTCGACATTGGGCGGAAAGGGGGGGAAAGGGGGGTCTGGCTCAGGACCTCTGCCTAGTGCGACTGTTTTGAACTGTGCGTCCTACGGGGGAGACTTCACCTGCTTGAGACAGGCGCCAAAAACAGCAAAGGTCTACTCATTGGGGGGAAGGGAGGGTGCGAGGGCCCGCGCCGATCGGCAAAACAATGAACAAGAGAACGACGACGAGCTTAGACGTTTGCCCCCAGAGATCCGAGGCTCCGAGAAATCTGGAGCGCGCGCTGTGGGGGCTGATTTCGGCCTCGGGGGGCCATCGCCGGGCCTCGGGACCGTCCAAAAAACGACTCGGGGCGAAAGACGGGCCCTAGAAAAGTGGTCCAGACCTTCGTGCCCCACGCATAGAAAGAATTGAAGCGGACATCGCTCGGACGTCCATTCCACGACCATTCCACGTGCATTTTTGTCGGTCTCGTACGCTGATTTTTCGCACGATGGTCCAAGATACTCCCCGATCTTCCCCGCCGAGGGAAAATGCACACGTCCGAGCGATGCCAAGAAGAGGGGGGGCGTACAAGAGGGGGATTGTGTGACAACGTTACGTATGCGACGAGAGACCACTTGTTACCCACCAGCCCTGGGCAGCCTTCGGCGATCTTCTGGCGGTCTTCAGCGGCGGTCTTCGGCGGCGGTCTTCGGCGGTAATCTAACAGTCTTCGGCGGTCTTCGGCGGTTTCCAATCGTTTCCTGCGGTTTTCGGCGCGGAAGCCGGATAGTTGCGGTTAAGAAGGGGTTCTGGGGCATCCACAGAGGCCTCCTAGATGGGATCCGAGTAGGTGGGGCCAAAGGATCGCACCGCATCGCCAATGCATCGCCATTGGATCGGCGATGCATCGGCGATGCGTCGGCGGTGCATCGGCGACGCCAGCGCGGATGAAAACTAGGCTCCACATCGAGCCGCATCGCGGATGAATCGGCGATGCAGCGCGATCCTCCGACCCCATCTACTCGGACCCCATGCTGGAGGCCAAGAACCAAAAAGAGGGGGGCGTCCAAGAGGGGGGCTCGCAAAGCATAGCCAGAGGCCTGTGCGCGGACGAGGGAGGGACCAGGGAACGCATTGAAATGAGAAGAGGGGGCCATGAAATCTGAGGAGATATGAGACTGACTTTTTGGAATCGGCGATAACCCGGGGTATCCGTGGGGGGGGGGGGAGGGGGCCGGCCGATAGCCCAACCGTGGCGCTGCAGGCAGCCCTGCATATGCCCGCGCCCCCTATACGGACGTGCCCTTCGCCCGCGGGCCTCCGTCATCCTCCAGGGCGCACTGCGCCCAGTCCAGGACGCCAGACTGGCCGCCGGAGGCGGCCCTGAGCGAGGAGCGGAAGAAGAATCACGGCGGGAGGTCGGGCTCCAGGGGCCCTCACTGGGCCCCAGGACTGCCCAGAGAAGAAGCTCAGGAAGGAAAGCCCGTCCCAGGGAAAGGGGTCCGAACCTCTTGGCCCATCGTCGAGCTCCAGGGGCCCTCACTGGGCCCCAGGGCTACCCCGAAAAGAAGCTCAGGACGGAAAGCCCGTCCCAGGGCAAGGGGTCCGAACCTCCGCGGGGACCGCGTTGTGAAAAACATGACGGGGTGTTTGGGTCGGCACCTCAGCGACCATCTTGGGGGGGGTCCACCGGCCTTCTCAGCGGCACCAGTCCTTCGCCCAGGATGGACCGGGCCAGGGCAGGCGAGGTGGTCTGTTTCGCGAGCGTTGCTGCGCAATGTTATGACTTGGAGCATGCAAACTGGGATCCGCAACTCGGGTCATGCAGTATGGCATACGCCATATGAGCTGGGAAAAATATCAGCTTTGAAGTCTGAGTTACGCAATCAAGAACGCTGAAGCTGAAGCAGGAGCTGGAGCTGCAGCTGAAGCCAGAGCATGAGAAGCTGCAAGAAAGCTGGTGCTGGAACTGGAGCTGGAGCTGAGCTGGGGGGTCGAGCTAAAGCTGGGCTGCAGCTTCAGCTACAGCTAGCTCTGGGTCTGGGTCTGAAGCTGCGGCTGGAGCTCGAGCTGGAGCTCGAGCGTAACCCAAGCTGTAGCAGAAGCTGGAGCTGGAGCTGGAGCTCGAGCTGGGAAAGAGCTCGGCTGGAGTCGGAGCTGGAGCTGGAGCTGGGACTGGAGCTAGTTCTGGGCCGGAGCGAGGCTGGGGCTGAAGCGGGAGCTGGAGCTCGCGCTGAAGCTACGGCTGGAGCTCGAGCTGGAGCGAGGCTGGAGAAGGTGCTGGAGCTGGAGCTGGAGCTGGAGCTGGAGCTGGAGCTGGAGCTGGGCCAGTGATTACAGGGGCTGGAGCTGGAGCGTGGCAGGAGCTCGACTGGAGCTAGAGCCGGAGCTGGGATGGAGCTGGAGCAGGATCTGGAGATAAGGCTGGAGCGGAAGCCGAAGCTGGAACTGGAGCTGGAGCAGGAGCAGGAGCTTGGGCTGAAGCTAGAGCATGAGAGCATGAAAAGCACCTCACGCTAGAGGGTTCACGCTAGAGGGTTGGCTCCAGACCCTCAAGATCGGGCCAGGGAGCGAAGTTCAAGCACCAAGAAGAGCACCAAACGCTGGAAGGTTGGTTCCAGACGTTCAAAATCAGGCACAGGAGTTGAGTTCTAACAATACAAACAGCATCGAACGCTGGAAGGTTGGCTCCAAATGATGTAAGTCGGCCCCTGGAATGGAGCTCTGGCAACACGAAGATCTAGTCTCCTGGGAGCGTTGCGCCCGGATGATCAAAACCAGGCCTGGGATTAGAGTTCCAGCAACACGAAGAGCTGGCCGACTGCAAAAGCTACACCTGAATGATCCAAACCTGTCCCGGAAAGGGAGGTCTGACAACACGGTGTTGCGACTGGCTGTGAGGCGTGTGCCCGCATGATTAGAATCGGGCCTGGGAATTGCATTCCGTCAGCACCAAGAGTCTGGCCTCAACCATTGGCCCAGCCCCAACCTTACGCAGACGGCAAGAAACTCCCACAAGGACAAGCCTGGGTGGGGGACGAGGTGAGCCTCTGGCAGCCCGTGAAACTTCCCAGGGCCGTCAGAGAAAGGCCCGTGGCCCATGGTAGGATTCAGAGGTCCGAGGGGATGGGACTCAGAGGTCCGAGGGGCCACGTCGCGATAAACACAAACACACGCACGCACACGCGTGCACGCACGCACGCACGCGCGCACGCGCGCGCACGCACGCACGCACGCACGCGCACGCACACGCGCACGCACACGCGCACGAGCACGCACACGCAGCACGCACACGCAACGCACACGCACGCGCACACGCACACACCAACACCACACAAGCAACACACACACACACACACACAACACGCCGCGCACACGCGCACAAGCACACGCACACGCAACGCGCACACGCCCACACGCACACGCACACGCACACGCACACGCCGCACGCACGCACACGTCCAGCGCTCACGCTCACACGCACACACGCACACACGCACACACGCACACACACACACAAACACAAACGCGCGCACACGAACACACACACACACAAACACACACACAAACGCGCGCACACACACAACACAACACACACACACTACACACACACACAACACACACACACACACACACACACACGACACCAAACACCAACACACACACACACACACACCACACGCACACACACGCACACACGCACACACACACACACACACACACGCACAACAACAACTGGCTGAGCTCACCTTGTGCCCAGGGTCGGCTGTGCGCACCCCCTTTTGGCTTAACCAGGAAGGCATACCCAGACATCGATGTTTCCGAGACGGGGCCAGCTCTTCATCAGGAGTCGTTCATTGTGTGGCCTTGAGGCCGAAATGGGTCTCCAAAGGCCACAATGATGCAATTGCCGTCTCGATCTTGCCGCATCGTGGGGGGGGGCCAGGGGGTCAAAAGCGACAGCTGGACCCGTCCTGAGGAACGGCCGGGCCAGCATCTTGAAAAGGATCCAGCCGTGGCCACGAGAACATCCCCGCAGACACGAAGAGGAGAAAAACTCGGTGGCACGCACTATTGGGCGTGGCGCGAGAGGGGGCCTTCTGAGCAGGCGGGGAGCTTCTTGGTAGGCAGGGGCTGCCTCAGAGGCGCCCGGATGCTTCTACAACGGCTCCCGAGAAGCCTGGAGAGCTTCTATCCTGGAAGCCTCCTGAGAAGGCCGCCCCCCGCGCGCCACCCCCGTGGGCGCGCCGCCAGCGAGCGTCAAACAAACAAATTATAGCTGTCCTCGAACCTCGATCCGCCTGGCCAGGATCGGCGTGACCAGGATGGGCGCAGGCGTGCCGCAGCTTGCCCCCCCCCCATGACAGCTTCTCGTGAGGCTTCTGCAGAGGGCCCCCAGACGCGGTCCGAGCAGGCAGGGTCAGGGGATCCCGCCGCATCAGCGATGCGTAGGCGATGCATCGGCGATGCATCGGCGATGCATCGGCGCCGTCGGCGCGGAGAACATCGGGACCCACAGCGAGCCGCATCGCGGATGCATCGTCGATGCGGCGCGGTCCTCCGACCCCATCTGCTCCGGCCCCATGCGGGAGGCCTGGGGGCGAAGCCTCCTTGGAGGCAGGCGCCGCCTTCCCCCCCCCCCCCGCCCCGACCTGATGCACACGCGAAGCATCCGCCACCTCACGCGCCGATCCGCCCGCGCCGAGGCGGACAGCGCACGCTCGAGGATGGAGATTTCCCCGGCCCAGCCAGCTGGGTAGTACCTCGACGCGAGGGAGAGGGGCCCTGACTGGATGGGGGGAGAACGGGGATCATGGCCGAGACTCGACGCGGAAAGCTTGCTGCCGATCTTGGTCATCGTCCATCTTGGTCATCGTCAATTCGTGGATCATCCTCACGAACTGGCGACGGCTGGCATGGACTATGACCAGATCCCGTGACATGTTGGTCGTGGTTATCGTGTCTTCCCTGGACTGACGGACACGGGTTCTCGAGGTTCGCATCCAGAGGCGAGGCGAGACGTCCGAGGCTCGGCGCTCGCCGCTGTCGGGCCGTTCTTCGCCGTTTTTGGACCTCTGGGAGACTTCTTGTCGCCACTGTTGGATTCACCTCAGAATTCTGGTCAAGAGCCGCCCCCTCGCGTCGTGGAAAATCGCGTCGAAGGTTTTCACGAGCTTCGACCACCAGGGGCACCGCAGCTGCCCCGCGATCTGCGGCACGAGCTCCTCCTGTGCAGAAGGGCTCCCACCACCACCACCGCCACCACCACCACCGCCACCACCACCGTGCCTGGCCCAGGGCCATCCTGGGCCCCGGCACGGTGCATGTACGCCCCCTTGGCCGAGACCAGGAGGCTCTGCACACTGCACTGGGGCCCAGGATGGCCCTGGCCCAGGCATGGTGTTTATGTGGTTACCCAGACGTCTCGCGGTGTGATTCGCTCACTCCGCGGGCTCCGGAGGTCTCGACCCCTTCCCGACGAGGCAGTTGCCACTCCCAGATCCGTGCTTGATTGCCCCGTGGTCCAGCTCGGGACCCCAGAGGCCGCAAGCAACCTTTGCAAAACAGACACCAGCAACGACAACCAAAAACTGCAACATAACAAGGGAGGTGCCTTTGGGGTGCCTTCTGCAGATCCTCCTGGTCGGCCAGCGCCGCGCTGGGCGCCCCGCCGCCAGGCCGGCACTGGGCCCACCGCCCGTCCAGGCCGAGGAACCCGAGCAGCGCCGCCAGCTCGCCCACGCCAGCCGGGCCGGCCCGGAGGGCCCTGGCCAGCGACCTCTTGGCGGCCTCCCGGGCGCGGGAGAAGTCCATGTCCGCCGCCGCGAGCTTGCGAGCTTCGGCATGCAGTCTCCGAGTGTCGCAGTGGCCCTGGTTCGAAGGACACTGCGCAAGATAGCCTCACTGGCACTGATTGCCTGCCAGACCACCCCAACCCAACCCCAAGACCCCAGTTCTGGGTTGGGGGGGTACGGGCCTCCTACGTGGATTTTCACGAGTCCCCGAGGCCGCCCCCCCTGGACATGGGGGGCACATCGGGGCCTTCGGGTTGGCTTGGGGTGACTTGGTGGGCGGCGAGGCACTGCGTGCCGGCCTGCCAGGGGGCACCATCTGCCTGCCTGGGGGCACCGTGCCGCAGGCATGTGCGGCCAGCTCCCGAGGGAGGAGGGAGGAGGGAGGGAGGAGGGAGGAGGGAGGGGGAAGGGAAGGGGGAGGGGGGAGGGGGATGAGGGAGGGGGAGGAGGAGGAGGAGGAGGAGGAGGAGGAGGAGGAGGAGGAGGTGTTCTTGTGGGCCCAGGATCGTCGTGGCCGCCACGTCCTGGCTTTGCCAGGAAGGCATACACGAGGGGTACCGATGGGAAGGGGACAGGCATAGGGGGGGATGCCTCGACCTGGAATCGGCGATACATCGCCGATAGATCGGCGACAGGCGTCCGATAGTGAATCCACACCCTCCTGGGCAGGTTGGGGCTATCGGGCCCCCATCGGCGATCCATGGGCGATTGGAGGTCGATGCGTCCCCTCCCGTGCCCATCCCCCCCTATCGCTGTTGCCCCTGAATACACGCTGGTCCTGGGCCCAGGATCGGCTTGGCCAAAATCGGCTTCGACGTTTCAGTGGGCGCCCTCCGAATCAGCCTGGGGCACCGTGCAGATCGCTCCGGCTGGAGCGCGGTCCGCAGGATCCGACAGCGGAGATCGTTCGAGGTTGGCCCCGGCTGGAGCGGTCTGCGCGATCCGACAGCGGAGATCGTTCGAGGCTGGCCTGGCTCAGGCCACCAGCGGCCTGCAACCACAAGCGCCCGTGCCGACGTCGCCGCCGCGTCAGCGCAGCGGCAACCCTCGGGTCCCCCCTAGATCTCAGTGCTGAGCAGTACCCCCAAAAAGGTCCCCAAGAGGCTCCCTCGAGAGAACGCAGGGTGCCTCCGAAGATCCTCCGGTGCACGACCTGGGCACGGTGGCGGGAGAGGCCGGAGGCCACTGGATCCGCCGCCCCCTGTCGATTCATCGCAGGGGTGCCTGGCGTGCTGGATCCTATCGGTTTTGGGTTTGGTTCTTTTTCCAAAAGAACTCCCCCTGGGGCTTCGGCCCGTCCCGCCACCGTGCCGTTCGCTCGGGACATCCTCAAAAAATCTTCCAGGACCCCAACGTGCACAAAAAATCCTCCCTGAAACGGCCATTTCGCTCGGGACATCCTCAAAAAATCGCGAAGATGGCCCAAGATGGCACAAACAATCCTCCCAAAAACGGCCGTTTCGCTCGGGACATCCTCAAAAAAACGCGAAGATGGCCCAAGATGGCCTCCAAGTCCGCCCAAGATGGTCCAAGACGGCCTCCAAGACGGCCCAAGAGAGTCCCAGACGGCCCCAGGCGGCTCAAGAGGCCCCCCAGAGGCCTCCAATACGGCCCAAGAGGCCTGCAAGAGGTCCTCCAGAAGGACCCGAAGAGGCCAAAATGATTTCCCATGTGTTTTTGAAGGATTTGGGAATTTGCTTCTTCTCGGCCTTCCGACGGCTCAAGACGGCCCAAAGGCCCCCAAAGATCGCCCAAGAGGCCCAAGACACGGCCCCAAGAGGCCCCAAGACGGCCCAAGAGGTCTCCAAGACGCTCAAGATGGCCTCCGAGACGGTCCTAGAGCCCCACAAGACGTCCTCCAAGAAGGCCAGAGAGTCAAATGGGCTCCAGACGGCCAAGATAACCTTCAAGATGCCCACGTGTTCCCCGAAGGCTTTCCAAACCGATTCGGGGAACAAATGGTCTGATAGCTTGGCAGGTCTGGCCTCAACGTTCGGCCACATAGGCGCTTCCACAAAGGCAGGGGGCGGCGGTGGTTCGCCGTAGGCGTCTTCGATCCGCCGCCCCTCGTGCTTGGCGCGGGGGGGCGCACGGCGTCCAAACGTTTTTACGTGTTTACTGTGTAAAACATTATCCAAGACGCCTCTCTGGGGCAGGAAAACCCTCGGCAACCACCTCTGGAGGATCCTGGGCAATCCTTTCGGGTGGCCGGCGGCACGCGCCGAAGCCCCAGGGGGAGTTCTTTAGGAAAAAGAACCAAAACCAAAACCGAAAGGATCTAGCACGCCAGGCACCCATGTGATGAATCAACAGGGGGCGGCGGATTCATTGGTTCCCAGCGGCCTTCGTCTTGACCCGCCGGCCAAACACAGGCGAGCTGGGAGGCAGGAATCTGTCCGCACAAGATCGTCTCAAGATGCCTCCTGGGTGCCTCCAAGATGGCCCAGGATGGCCTCCGCCTGAAAAACAGCCAAAATGGCCCGAAGAAAGCCGGGATGGCCTCTAGGTCGGCCCAAGATGGCGAGGCCCAAAAGACGCACCAAGATGGCTTCAAGAAGACCTCCAGGAGGCAAAAATCATTGGTGTTCTTTGGTTGGTCAAATTGTATCGCGTTCTCGCCACTCCGGCTTTCCCACGTCCGAAGACGGCCCCACAGGCCTCCAAGATAGCCCCAAGACGGCCCAAGAGGCCCCCAAGAGGCCCCCGGACTGTTCTTGGAGCCCCGAAGACCCCCAAGACGGCGGCTTCACAGCCCTCCAAGACGGCCCTAAAGCGCCCAAAGAGGGCCCAGCGACGGCCCAGAGGGACCCCCAAGACGGCCTCCGAAGGCCAAGGGCCCCAGCATACTTCAAAGCCCCCAAGAGGTCTCCATTTCCTCCCCCTTCTCCTCCTTCTCCTCCTTCTCCTCCCTCTCCTCCTCCTCCCCCCTCTTCCTCCCACAAGTGTTCCCCCAAGGCTTTCCATAACGGCTGGGAGAACACGTAGCCCAATAGCTTGGCAAGACGTCGACCCAACGTTTGGCCCCACAGGCGTTTCCAAAACGCAAGGGGGTTCGCGCCGCAGGACGGGTGGTTCGCCGCAGGCGCCGTCGATACTCGCCAGGCCCGCGCGGAGGCATCCATTCTCGCACGAGGCACCGAAGCGTCACCGCGTGGGCGGTGTCGTACTGCTCGCGGGAGGACAGGAGGGCCCACCAGGGCCTGGCATCGCCGTCCGGGGAGGCGCCGTCCTCGGCCGCGGCGGGGTCGGGCACCACGCCCGTGCCCATGGCCAGCAGCTCCGTGGCGGCGATGGAGGCGGCGCAGAAGGGCAGGATGCGGGCAGGGTCGCCCCCGAGGCCCGCCGAGAGCCGCAGCGCCGCGCCCCGCGCCCACGGGCCGTGGTCGCTGCTCTCCAGGAGCACGCAGAGCTGCTCCAGCGCCAGGCGCTGGTAGCCCCGCAGGTCCTTCCGCGGGTCGGGGCCCTGGAAGCCGAGGGCCTCCCAGCGGCGGTCGGGCACGGGCCACGGGCCCCGCGCGCCCGCGCCCGCCGCCCCGCCCGCGCCGCCCCCCGCGCCCGCGGCGAGAGAGATCCGCGACAGGAGCTCGTCGCGCTCCCTCTCCTGCGGGGGGGCAGCAGGCGGCCGAGGAGGGCCGCCTCTCCCGAGGACGACGCCCGGGGGGGGGATGTCCTGCGCATGGCGAGCGTCGTCTGCACACCGAGGCCAGCTCCGTGCTGGCCGTGGTCGACGCGGCGCCCCAGGGCGGCCAGGTCGACCACACCACCACCGGCGCGCTCGTGTCGAGGTCGGCGAGCTCGTCCCCAAGGGGCCCTCCCGAAAACCCCACTGCTTCACTGTGGCTGTGGTTCTTTGCTGTGCCCAGATCTCCGCACTGGCGGGGCAGAAGTCCAGGGAGCCACGCAGGAGGTGCAGGGTCTCCAGCTCCTCGCCGCTGGGCGGCCGCCCTTGGCTTCCTCCCATCTGCGCGGCGGGGGCGCAGGCTGCATGCCCCTCGATGGTCCTCGGAGCGTACGTTGGCACCAGCGTGCGTTTGTCCACCAAGGGAATGTAATGCAGGAGAGCCCTAGAATCGAATCGATAGGTCGGATCGGCGATCGAAACACATCGGATCGGTGGAAATCGACACCCAAGTCGAGAGAAGTTGAATCAGCGGAAATCGGCAGGCTTGTAAGGCCTCCATTGGGAACCGAAACCCAAATCGGAAGCCGAAGTCGAATCGAGTCGGAATCGAAATTGATCGATATCGAATCGAATCGAATCGGATGCGTCGAAATGAGCTCTAGCTAGAGCTCGTTTCGACGTAATGAAGGCCGACAGGCTGCGTGATACGGGCGGAGCTGATCGAAGTAGTCACACGCTGGGCTAAGACACGTCCTAAGGATCATCGAACCCCCTTTCGAGCGCGCCGCGGCCCAGGCCTGCTGTGGCCAGCGCGATGTGGCAGCGCCAGCGGGAGGGATCAGGGAAGCGCATGGAACAGCGGGGGCGCAGACATCGGATGTCGCGAGTTGACACCGCGGCATAGCACGGACGGAAGCCCGAGCTTGCCTGACAGCATGAGCCGTTCCGGAAGCAGGCATAAGTTGTGGCCGCACGCACGCGAACGGGTCCGTGGCCATTGTTGCTGGGCGATGTTCGCGGTACGCAGATGCCGTATGCAAGATGGCATTCGTAAGCAGCGCAATTATCACAGATGTACGACACAAAGCACATGCACGTTAGAGGTGCACTGGCGAGGTGCGAAATAGTGCAACGAGCTTGAGAAAGAGAGAAGAGAAGGAGAGGATGGCATGACGCTTGGGCAGAGTGCCTTGGTGGCAGCGAAGCAGCGTCAAACGCAGCATTGCTCAGCATCTGGATGCCAACGGATGATTGTGCAACGGCAGATGGTTTCGGACGACTAAGCCTGCAGCCTGTAAACACCGAATGCCTGCAGATATCCATAGACAGCCTGAGAACTGTGCAGCGTGCCCAAATTGCCTAGCCAGATTCTTCCCCCAACTGGAGCACCCACCGATCCAGATATAGGCCGCCAACGATACACATACACCTACCCTAGCCATCCTGGACCCAGGATCGGTGTATACGTTCTCCTAGCTCGGCTGAGAAAGTATGTATATATATATATATATATATATATATCGATCCCGGGTACAGGATGGGTCAGGCCAAGGTCGGCACATATGAACAGCTTTCGCCGCCCGACGATAGCGTGGCTCATTCGAAGCTCCTCCAAGAGCACGCAACCTTTTCTCTCAGGCCTGCCCCCGCCGTCTCAGAGCGCGCTTCCCGGCGTCCCGCAAACCAGCTGGCGCAGTGGCAGGGGGACGCCGACCATGCACCGCGCTGCCTGGCCAGACCCATCTTGGGCCCGGGACGACTGCATTCCCTGTGCTTTTTTCGGTTTCGCGCGTGCTTTTTTCGCAGGATGATCCAGGACGCTCCTTGATAACCCCCGCCGAGGAACAGTGCACACGTCCGAGCGACACCGAGGGAAGGCACGTACGCACCGGTCCCGAGGATCGGCCTGGCCAGGACCAGCCTGGAGCAGAGCTGGCCTCCCCCGAGGCGGCGGAGAGGCCCCGCGGGCGCGCGCAGCTGCGAGCGGCCCTTCGCAGCACGGCGGCCCTCGCCAGACGCGTCCCGACCCATGGCACCGGCCTCAGACGTGCTGTGCTAAGAGGCGTGCCCCACCGGGTGTGCCAGCAGCTCCGCCACCCGAGCAGCGCCCTCGCAGGTCTGACTCCCGCGAGCGGTGACGAGCACTGCGGCACGCGGCTCTGCCCCTCCCCTCCCGATGGGCGGCGCGGGCTGCTCGCCCGGCGGTTCGCACGGCTTCGCGTGCCGGTGCTGCTGCTCGTGCTCGCACTGCTACGTCGGACGGCAGAGAGAGATGGTTCCTAGGACACACACACACACACACTTGTTCAAAAGCGCATGCCCCTTGCATCGGAGCGACCCCTCTAAGCGAGGGATCTCCGAAGTACTGCTCATGCAAGTCCCGCCCAGACACCCATTATGGAAACACACAGCTGCGCGCGCGCGGAACTGAGCTGCGCGCTGAACTAAGCTGGGAAACGAACAGGCACACCGATGTAGAGCAGACCAGGACGCCACGGAAAGCCAAGGGCGCGAACGCACCAGAGCCAGGCCTGAGGCCCGGCCCAGGCGGCCAGACGATCGCAACCTCGGAACGGAGCGTGAGATTCATCAATCTCGAATATGTACCGGGGCCCGCTTCGGGACGACGCCGAAGACATGCTCAGAGCCTGGAGCGCCAGAGGAGCGCAACCTCAGAGTGGAGCGTGAGATCTATCAGCCTCAAGCAGATGCCCTCAGTCCACTCTGGGCAAGAGCACAAAGACGCCGAAGCCAGGCCTGGAGCCAGGATGGCCAGGGGGGCGCAACCTCGGAGCGGAGCGTGACACCTGGCCGCCTCGAGCGCGCACCCGCAGCCCGCTTCTGGGGCCCAGTCGCTCGGATGCTGCGCAGTCGGCAGGACAGCCGCGAGGCCCAAGGGCGCCAACCTCAAGCCCGAGCCAATCCTGAAACCCCGCCGCCTCCCGAGTGCTTGGAGCTGGGATGGCCAGCGCAGACCTCGCAGCGGAGCGCGAGAGAAGTCCGCCTCGAGTGCGTACCCTACGGTTGCGTGATGATCGGCCCCTAACCAAACAAACCAAATCAGTAGCCTGGCGAAGGACCCAACCGCATGCAGTTGTCAGGACCGCAGTTGTGGGTATCGCCTTCAGGAGAGCCCCCTATGGGCCACGAAACGCTGTTGTGGGTGAGGGAGACGCATGCGAACTTTGCCACTGGGGCCTTCGGTGGAGCTCCCTATGGACCACGAAAAGCTGTTCTGGGTGGGGGAGACGCATGCGAACTTTGCCACTGGGGCCTTCCGTGGAGCTCCCTATGGGCCACGAAACGCTGCTCTGGGTGAGGGAGATGCATGCGGACTTTGCCACTGGGCCTTCGGTGGAGCCCCCTATGGGCCACGACACGCTGTACTGGGTGGGGGAAAACGCATGTGAACTTTGCCACTGGGGCCTTCGGTGGAGCTCCCTGTGGGGCCACGAAACGCTGCACTGGGTATGCGGAAAGTGCCACTGGGGCCTTCGGTGGAGCTCCCTCTGGGCCACGAAACGCTGCACTGGGTATGCGGGAAATGCCACTGGGGCCTTCGGTGGAGCTCGCTATGGGGCCACGAAAGGCTGACTGGGTGGGAGAGACGCATGCGGAAAGTGCTGGGGCTGTCAGTGGAGCTCCCTGTAGGGCCACAAAACGCTGTCCTGGGTGGAGAAACGCATGCGGGGGGTAGCACTGGGACCTTCGGTGGAGCGCCCTATGGGGCCACGACCCTCTGTACTGGGTGGGGGTGACGCATGCGGGATGTAGCACTGGGACCTTCGGTGGAGCTCCCTATTGAGGCCACGACCCGCTGTACTGGGTGGGGGTGGCGCATGCGGGCAGTAGCACTGGGACCTTCGGTGGAGCCCCCTTATGGAGCCACGAAACGCTGTACTGGGTGGGGGTGACGCATGCGGGCGGTAGCACTGGGACCTTCGACAGAACTCCCTGTGGGCCACGAAACGCTGTACCGGGTGGAAGTGACGCATGGGGGCGGTAGCACTGGCACCTTCGCTGGAGCTCCCTATGAGGCCACGACCCGCTGTACTGGGTGGGGGTGACGCATGCGGGAAGTAGCACTGGGACCTTCGGTGGAGCTCCCTATGACCGAGCGGACACATAGATGCCCCCCGAAGCCAGCGGTCGAGGTGGCGCGAGTGCGCCTGGGAGGTTCGGGGCCCCAAAAACGTGTGGTGACGGACCGCGTGGTGACCTCTTGAAGATCCAGCGATCTCACCCCGCGGTCCGTCACCGCTGGTTTTGGGACCTCGGAGGCCAGTGGCCCGAGACGTCCTCGGAGAACGACCCGAGAGCCAAAACCGTGTGGTGACCCCGATTTTCCCGAATGACTCACCACGCGGTGCGGTGACCACCCTGAGATCCGACATTGCCAAAACCTGCAACATCGCGAACAATCACGACCGGACCCCCGACCCCCTCTTTCTGCGTCCTTGTCCGGGCCGGATCGACATGTGAGGGTCCCCGGGCCCGAAATTGAGAAAAACGCCCAGCTCGAAAAATTGATTGGCGGCCAGCCCGGGGGGGGGAGTGAGAAGGGGCGTGCCTTGTCCCCTGGCCTTGTAAGAAATTTTCTATGCCTTCCCGGATGACAAGAAAAACCTCTCGAAGGCGCGAGGGCTTCTGAGAAGCCCCGCCGCCTTCTGAAAAGGCCTTCTCCTTCTTGCTTCCCCCCTCGCTCGCCGCCGAATGGAGTCGCCAGGATCTCATGGCACACCGTGTGGGGGACCCCGAGGGCGGGCGCACCCTCTCGGCGCCGACTGCCTGGCTGGGCCCGAGCCCCCGAGACCCCCAGAACTGCGGCCCGAAGCGAGGCAAGGGCGCGCGGCGCGCCACGGCGCACCAGCCCGTGCGCACGCCTTGCCAACGGTCCTCCTCCTCCTCCTCCTCCTCCTCCTCCTCCTCCTCATCATCATCATCATCAGCAGCAGCAGCATCAGCATCAGCATCATCAGCATCAGCATCAGCATCAGCATCATCATCATCATCATCATCATCATCATCATCAGCATCATCAGCATCATCAGCATCATCAGCATCAGCATCATCATCATCATCATCATCATCATCATCATCATCATCATCATCATCATCATCATCATCATCATCATCATCATCATCATCATCATCATCATCATCATCATCATCATCATCATCATTCATCATCATCATCATCATCATCTCCTCTCACTCTCCCCCTCCTCCTCCCTCCTCCTCCTCCGCCTCGCCGCCTCCTCCTCCTCCTCCTCCTCCCCCTCCTCCTCCTCGTCCTCCTCCTCCTCTTTCTCCGCCTCCTCCGCCTCCTCCTCCTCCGCCTCCGCCTCATCCTCCTCCTCCTCCTCCGCCTCCATCTCCTCCTCCTCATCATCCTCTCGTGTTTCTTATTGTTCGTCATATTAATAATATGTGTGTGTATTCGTTGTCTCCGTAAATTAAATATTGCTAGTCGTATTCCTAGTTAATGCTACTACTCTTCTCATCCGTAATAATATAACTCGTATTGGTGTTAGTCTTAGTGTTCGTGTTCTTCTTATCCGTCGTGGTGTGAAGAGTATGAAAAGTATGACTGGTAGTATGGTTACTATTACTAACACTACTACTACTACTACTACTACTACTACTACTACTACTACTACTACTACTACTACTACTACTCATACGAATAGTGTTAATCGTGTTCGTATTAGTAGTACCATTAGCGGTATAGCATTGTTGATAGTCTCAGTATTAGTTGTAGCGGTGGTAATTATTTTTTACATACAAAACCAACAAAAAATGATAATAATAATAGTAGTAGTAGTAGTAGTAGTAGTAGTAGCCGTCGTAGTAGTAGTCGTAGTAGTAGTAGTATAGTAGTAGTAGTAGTAGTAGTAGTAGTAGTAGTAGTAGTACTACTAGTAGTAGTAGTAGTAGTAGTAGTAGTAGTAGTAGTAGTAGTAGTAGTAGTAGTAGTAGTAGTAGTAGTAGTAGTAGTAGTAGTAGTAGTAGTAGTAGTAGTAGTAGTAGTAGTAGTAGTAGTAGTAGTAGTAGTAGTAGTAGTAGTAGTAGTAGTAGTAGTAGTTAGTAGTAGTAGTAGTAGTAGTAGTAGTAGTAGTAGTAGTAGTAGTAGTAGTAGTAGTAGTAGTAGGAGTAGGAGTAGGAGTAGGAGTAGGAGTAGGAGTAGGAGTAGGAGTAGGAGTAGGAGTAGGAGTAGGAGTAGTAGGAGTAGTAGTAGTAGTAGTAGTAGTAGTAGGAGCAGCAGTAGTAGTGGTAGTAGTAGTAGGTAGTATTCGTAGTGGTATTATTCTTGTTCGTATGAAATATGAAAAGTAATAAGATTCGTTGTGTTCGTATTGGTGGCAGTATTCTTAGTGTTCGAATCAGTATTGTACTTGGTATAACTAGTATTAGTAGTAGTCGTCTTATTATTATTGGCCGTACTAGTTGAATGCTTATTCTCATTATTATTGTGATTATTCATATTATTTCTCCTCCTCTACCTCCTCCTCTAACTTCTACTCCTCCTCATCCTCCTCCTCCTCCTTCTCCTCCTCCTCCTTCCCCCCTCCTCCTGCTCCTATTCCTCCTCCTCTTCCTGCTCCACCTCCTCCTCCTCCTCATCCTCCTCGTCTTCTTCTTCTGCTTCTTCTATTTATTCGCCTTCTTCTTCCTCCTCCTACTCCTCCTCCTCCTCCAACTCCTTCTCCTCCCCCAACTCCTCTCCTCCTACTCCCCTCATTCTCCTCCTCCTCCCCTCCTCCCTCCTCCTCCTCCTCCTCCGCCTCCTCCTCCTCCTCCCTCCTCCTGATCCCCTCCCCCCTCCTCCTCCTCCTCCTCCTCCCTCCTCCTCCTCTCCTCCTCCTCCTCCTCTCCTCCTCCTCCTCCTCCTCCTCCTCCTCCTCCTCCTCCTCCTCCTCCTCCTCCTCCCCCTCCCCCCCTGCTGTCGTGACGACGACGGCGCTTCAGACGAAGCCACGACGAGGATAAAATCGGGTGCGGAAAAATCGAGAATATCTGAGATCCAGCGGCTCTGGAGGATGTCTCGGGCGCCACGGCCTTCACAAAGCGTTCAGAAAACGCTCTGAGAGCGTTCCGGAACGCTCTGGAACGGATTCATCCTCGTCCTAGCCCCGCCCGAACACCCTCTGCTCGTTCAGATTTTTCACGGTGCCACCCGAGGCTGCCTCGTGGCCGCCTCGTGCGTTAGGTGGGTCCGGCGAGGATCTTCCACGTTGCCGCCCGTGGCCGCCTCGTGGCCGCCTCGAAGAATCGCCGCTTTCCGCCAGCTCAGATCGTGCAGTGCTGGTGAAGCTTGAGGCACTGGCGGCGTTCGACACTGAACGCCTGCGCTGGGGTCGCCGCCGCGTCAAAGCAGCGCGAACCGACTGTATGTTTGTTTGTTTCTCCCCTTTTGCTCATCCCCCTCTTCGCTTCGCCTGTGATAAGCTACAGTAGGAGCTAGACCACAAGAGAGCTTCCACAAGAAACCCAACCCTGAGACCCCAGGACGACCTTTGATTTTTGGTATGGGAACGTCACTCTTTCCGTAGCAAAACCATGGAATCCCAAGAAAGAGCACCCTGGAGGCAAGCAGGGTGTCTCTTGGCATGGGTTTCCAATGTATGATAAACTGGTCAGGCTGGCTGCCCGCGCCCGCCCGCTGCTGTGCTTGCCTATCCGTCTACTGTATGGTTCATCCCCCCGTCTGGCCCTGAAAGATCTCGCATCTACGCAGGGTTTCTCTGCATCTTCGTCGCCCTCTCCGCCCACTCCTCCTGCCCCTCCTCCTTCTCATTTTCCTCCATCTCCTCCTCCTCCTCCTCCTCCTCCTCCTCCTGCTCTTCCTGTTACTTCGCTGGTCCCCAGGACAGTCTGCTGACCACACCGAGCAGTGAGTCTGAGCTCACTCCAACTGAACGGACCACCACTTTCGGCCTCGGGTCGTCCACTTCGGATGCCTCGGGCGCCTGGAGGCTCCGGAGTCCCAAGCCGCCTGGTGCCAGACCGTCCGAAGTCGTCGGACGGTCCGTCCCCGGACAGCCTTTCGGACCCCCACCCCTGCGGGGGACGTCAAGTGTCCACATCGCCGGTCCTGGCGGGGCCGATCCTGGTCCCAGGTTCGGGGTGTAGGCCCTCCTGTCCTGCGCGGGAGGGCATATACACCGGGCTTGGGCCCAGGATGGGCGCGTTCAGGATCGGTGGAGGTGCACAATTGACGCCCTCCGCCCTGCCGTGTCCCCTGCCTCCTCCAAGACTGCTTCGACCTAGTGACGAAGCGCTCCCTTCGCTGCTGCTAACCGCCTGTCGTGCACCCTCGTGGGCCGCGGGGTCGCATCTACTCATCCGACTCGCACTCCTCATCCTCATCATCCTCCTACTCCTCCTCCTCCTCCTCGTCCTCCTCCTCCTCATCCTCTTCCTCCTCCCCCTCCTCCTCCTCCTCCTCCTCCTCCTCCTCCTCCACCTCCTCCTCCTGCTCGTCCTCCTCCCTCTCCCCATCCCTCCCTGCCTACACATCATCATCGCCACCACCACCACCACCATCATCATCACCGTCATCATTACCACCATCACCATCACCACCATCACCATCACCATCACTATCAGTATCATCAGCATCAGCATCAGCATCAGCATCATCAGTATCATCGTCGTCAGCAGTAGCAGCAGCAGCAGCAGCACCCTCATCATAATCATCATCGTCATCAGCACCATCAGCATCATCATAAGTATCAGCATCATTGACATCATCACCAACATCAGCATCTCCATACATCCATCCATCCACACATGAATATATACACATATGTGTATGCCCATATATATATATACACCAAACATATAAATATGGGCATGAATACACGTATATGTTTACATAAATGCATGCACATGTGCATACTCGTCTACACATACATGTACATGCATAAAAAATATACGTACATGCACAAACATATATCCGCCGGCCCCCTTGTGGGGCCACCAGGCTGTAGGCCGAAGCTTCGCAGTTTCCTGTACCAGTTGCAGCTTCCAGCTTCCACTGTTACAATTCTGCTTCTTGCTGCTTACTGTTCCTTGTTGATGGACCGCGCGAGGGGGTGGAAGCCCATGTGAGCAGGTTTAGCACGCCCTGAGCGTGTGCTCTGAATTGCTGGGGTGAATAAAAATTACCAGGTCAGGGTCCAAAAACACGGGATTTGCCACATCTCTGAAATTTGGTGGCACCCCTCACGCAGATCGGCGGGGTCAGGGTCCACAAACACATCGGAGTTGCCACATTTCTGAAATTTGCTGGCACCCCTCATGCAGATCGGCGGGTCAGGGTCCAAAACCAAGGGGATTTGCCACATTTCTGACATCTGGTGGCACCCCTCACGCAGATCGGCGGGGTCAGGGTGCAAAAACATAGCGGATTTGCCACATTCCTAAATTCGCTTGCACCCCTCACGCAGATCGTCGGGGTCAGGGTCCAAAAACACACGGGATGTGCCACATCTCTGAAATTCGGTGGCACCCCTCACGCAGATCGGCGGGGTCAGGGTCCAAAAACATACGGGATTTACCACATCTCTGAAATTCGGTGGCACAGATCGGCGGGGTCAGGGTCCGCAAACCCAAGGGATTCTCAACATTTCTGAAATTCGGTGGCACCCCTCACGCGGATCGACAGGGTCAGGGTCCAAAAACACACGGGAATTGCCACATTTCTGACTTTCGGCGGCACCCCTCACGCAGATCCGTAGGGTCAGGGTCCAAAAACACACGGGCTTTGCCACATGTCTGAAATTCGGTGGCACCCCTCACGCAGATCCGTAGGGTCAGGATCGAAAAACAAACAGGTCCCGACACTGCTTCACGGCGTCGCCCAGACCTCATGATTTAGTTGTTGCATCTTCCATTATCCGAGACAGGGGGCC